AAAATAAAATTAAGGTTTAGAGATGAAATTATCCATAGTGAAGAGGTGCAGGGCTGCAGTTTGAGGAACTACTTCCCCCACAAAAAATCTACATTCACTTATGCAAGAAGCAAGAGCAGACATTTGAAGAACAGAACAGGATCCCCACCAGAACCACCCAAAGCTGGCAGTGATAAATTAAAACCCAACAGAATAACACTGAGCAGGTGAGACTGGTAACAGAAAATGATTAAAGCAGGGAGAAGTGTCTACTGAGGTGCTGCAAAGTGTGTGGGCATGAAACCAGGCTTGCTTGACTTCAAGGATCCAGTAAAAGCAGCGTGTAAAATTATATTTGGAGAGGACAATCTAAGAGGCGTTTAAAGCTCCAGTGAGGACGGTGAAGTACTAAAGAACTTGAAGAGGTCAGAAATATGGCAGGAAATGAAATGGGATTCAACCTACAAAATTGGAACCTGGTTCATCTGGGGAAAAATAATCCAGAACACAAATACTAAATGACGAGGAGATATTTGCAAAGCACAACAACACACAAAAAAACCTCTTGGGGGAAAATAGCAAGCAGAAAACTGGATATCAATTTGCAATGTGATACGGCAGTAAAAGAAGCCAACACAATTTTGGATGACTTGCAGAGCACAGCTTGTCACAGAACAGGGATGTGACGGTCCCTTTTCACACAACGCTGATGGGAACTTACAGACTGAGGGGATTTCAAAGTAACTCAACAGCAGCAGTGGAAGAATCTGGATAGAGTCATGACAGAAGAATGTAAACCCATCAAATGAAGTTCAGCAGTGACTGAGGATGGGAGGTAGGCCTGACACTGAGGAAAAGCCAATGTCTGCAGCCATTTAACAGAGTGCCACAGGAGTAAAATGGCCAAATGTACTCAAAAAAGAACAGATCATTGGAGAAAACACATCATTATAAAGAGCTGGTATCCCACTGGGGAAAAAAAAAGAGGAGATATGATATAGAAGAAATCACACTGCCCAAGTCATTTATAGATTAGATGGATAAATCAGCTAAACCGTCCTGTACACTTTCAGATTTACACCACACAATGAATAGTAGCCCATAAATATATTTTCTTTCTGGATTCTAGGAAAATCTTAGGAAGGGCTTACCAGGAGAAGAATAATGTCTCACTCACCAGAGACGCGGCCCATACGTGACTGACATTACGTAAAGACTCTTGAAGTCAGATCTAGATCAAGTCCAAGGTCAGATGGAATTTGGACACGTACAGCAGCGTTAAGCAGTATTTATCTTTAAAACTTGAAAACCTTGAGATTATACTCTTTGCGGTCTATTGGTTGAGTTGGTGTTCCATACAGTTAGGTCCATATTTTCTACTCCTCCTTTTCAGTGTCACTGATAACTCATGCTCTCAAGTCTGTTGCTTTTGACCTTCCAATCAAAATCACAGCTAACAGAGAGACGGGTGCACAAAAGGGGAAAAAATAAAATCACCTGCTGATGACTTTGTCTCAGACTTTGCAACCTCACTGCACATTTCTGAGCGATGGCATCAAAGTGGTGAACAGAAGAACAACTGGTGCAGGCTGATTCTGTCCAGGTGAAGTACATTTTTAAAAAATCAAATATTGACATAAGAAGTTTCTGTGACCATGAATGGCTTGCCAATCTCAAACTATTCTTAGCTAATAGTCTAATTCACTGGCAGGATTCACTAGAAATGGGTAGGTCATGAAGTTATCTCACTTCCAAGTTTCACATTGTGACTACCAGAAGAGAAAACAAACCCTTGCAGCAACAGTTCAAGAATAATCTTCAACTTGCACTGACCTGTCAGAAGCCTGAGAGAAAGCTGTAATGGCAGTTTCCTGCACTACTTGTTAGGTTAGACACACATTTAAGTAGAAATGTTCTTTACTTGTGCTGTGCTAGGACTTAAAACACGTTTCTAGGAGAGAGCTTTCCAAGCATATCTAGAGACATAACAGCTTTCCTGTTTTGAACTGGTCTTTAAGACTTTTGGCAGTATATGACAAATATGGAAATAATCAGAACTCTTATATGTGACACTAGAGTGCTTGGAACACATAAAACTCACTCAAAAAAAGGTATCAAGTCACAGGCATTAACTGTTTATAAATTAGATGTATGCTCCATTGTCAACAACTATTTTGTGCTCTCCTCTGCATTAAAATTGTAAAGTATTAAGGCAGCTTTATTAATAAATAACAAGCGTCATAAATTATATGATTACATAGTAAGCTCTAAGATTAGCCTTGAAAAAGTCCAGCCTAAAAAATATCTTCTTGTACTTTAAACACATCCCCTTCTAAACTACCACCGTAAGCTACAAAGCCATCATCTGCATTTTGGCCGTACTACTAAACCTGTATTATTAAGCAGAGGACTTGTGCTGGCTGTATGAGTCCCAGTACCAACCAATACACTTTGAAGCCAAAAGAGACTTCTGTCCCTGTAGCATGACCACAGTAATGCAAGTTTCAGAGTCTTCCTCAGCGTTCCATTAAATTCAGTAAATTTGCTGGAAATACAAAATGCTTTTTAGGAAAACCTATAACCTCAATTAAAATTCTCCATCTCACTCAAAACTGATCCAATGGTTAAAGTCAAGCAGCTTACATTCAGGGCTTTTTAAAAATTCAACCATGTAATTAGAGAATTGCAAGGGGCCTATAATTTATGGTTATGTCTTGTACTATTTAAATACAACTGTAATTAACTGGATGACTCAACTTTGCACCAATACCGGAAACTTGCACATTCGCTGTCGGTCTCAAGATAAGGTCAAGATGGCTCTTACCATGCTCATTAACTCTCATTCCCCAACTGTTCAAAACTACACTTGAGATCGGTTACTGCCATAACTTCTATCCAGCAGGGTTAGCTGTTTTTGTGTACTTAGCTTGGAAGAGTCCGCACGGCCCAGCATGCTTAAACAGAACATTCAACTGGAGCCAGCAACTTGGGCTTGGAACACTCTTCTATTTTGATTCCAAACCACACATATTTGAACAGTTAACAAATGCGGCAGGGGGATATCGGTACACAGCAGTCTGAAAAATGTACAAATCCTTTGTTGGATTTCTTTTTTTCAATACACCCGAAAGAACAATTTGGTTGCTTCATTATATAAGCACATTAAAAAAACCCAAAACAACCCTTACCAAACAAAACACGGAGTGCAGGGTTGCTTATAGGTGGTGCTGTGTTTTTTGTTACCCCCTCGGTCCTCCATCTACATATTCTCAAGTACATTTGTTTATCTAAAATACATTTTGATCAGATTTTGTAGATTGGAGAAGTGCAGTAAGTGAGAAAGGTTTTTATTTTTCTTTAGTTTTTGCTTTTTTCTCTTGTAGAAGTTTGCTGGGTCAGAAACTTTTTGCAGAGCATGTGTAAATGCTAAAATAATTTCTCAGTGCTGGTCTATGACAATGGTATTTCAGAATCTAGTGGAAGCAAAAATGTGGTTCAGCTCATCTGTCTTAACCTCATCTCTTAATTGACAGTTAACAAGTTAAAGGGAAATATGTCACACAGCAAGCTAGAGATAAGGCTGGTTGGACACCCTCCCTTTCCCAGCTGCTATCTAGTTTGTCAACTCTTGATAACATCATCACTACTGTGCGTAGGTTGTATGGCACAGAATCCTGTCAAAACATGAATTTTAAGTGTATGTGTGTCTTGAAACAAACTATAATAAAAACACAGCTCAACTGGTAAGAAAACAAACAGTATAGCCAGGTGTGTTTCTCCTCACCTTTAAATAAATAAATCAAACTGTAGTCACAAAACTAAGACATGTACAAGCAAAACAGTAGATGTGTTTTCTCAGGGATGCTCTTCAAGTTCTCACGTAATTTCTGCATGCATATGTACTTACCAAATTGTAATCCTTGACCTCTGGGTTTTACAAATCAAGCTAAGTATCAGATACGTAAGACATACATGTAAACACTTCCATTTTCACAACAAAGTACATCTACGTTTGTTCTTCAAAGTTTCCCGCACCTCATTCACACATCAAGCTTATTGTTCCTTACTGAAACACTGATGGTGGACACTTCAGGACTCCAAGCATGGCATCATAAAACACAGGAAATGGAAAAGCCAAATGGGAGGACAAAACAACTGGAAAACCTAACATTTTTCAAGCATTTTTCTCTAAGCTTGCTGCAACAAATGTATTTAGGATTTTCTTTCACTTCTTCAGCACTCAAGATCTCATATACGTACACCAGGCATAGTCCTATCATATACAGTAAACGCTTGGCCAACAAGAGTAAAAAGAATCTTCTCTCAGAGCAGCCTTTTTAAAACTTAGCCTGTTCCCTCTTCCACATTCATAGTCAGTGCCAATGAACATTCATTTAATTTAAACAATCATTATTCTGTAGAGACCACATTACGCCAGTAACTGAACACAGGAAGCAAGTCAAGGCATCTCTTGTGATGTGCTGACACCTAACATCCACCTAGGCATGGGTAAACAGATCAGCATGTGGACATAAGGGCACAGATCCACACTTTCTGTAAGTGAGAATTATTGTACAAAATTAAAATAAGATAATTACTTGATACGGATGCCAGAACTCTTCAAACATTTTAAGATTTGTTTTTCTACATAGCTAAATGGAAGCTGGAGCTAGAGCAGGGAGAAGGACTCTTCCATTTCAACTCTGCACAAGGATTCCATGGAGTAGTTTAATGTCATTAAACCTTTTTAAAATTTTGCTTTAATCTAATGCTGTGGCTTAATAATTCCTATTTTATATTGCAGCTTTTCTGTGCAAAATATACTCTTATAGTATCAACAAATGCCATCTTGTAAAGAAAAGGCAAATTGAATGAAATGAGCTACTAATAAGAGCTCATAGTAAATTTGATTAAATTATTGTTTCTTTGGGTAAGGGAAGATAATCAGATCCGGAATTGCAGCAGGTATTAATACACATTTTTACAGTATTATTGATTGGAAACATGAACTGCTTACTGACCTGGGGCCACTTAGGGTTGCAGTGTCCCTCACTGCCTGTGCAGTTTCCGATGCGAAATCCAGAGCTCCAGCCACAGGTTTGGTTACTGTGCCAACCAGCCCTTTCCCAAGGCCTGAGATGAAACCACTGACACCTCCTTCGGTTTTCACACCTTCAACTGTTGAAGTTATTACACTCGTCAATCCTCCAATGATACCTGGCAAAGACAAGAACAGCAAAGTAGGTCAGTACTGCCTCTCAAAAGTACAGAGCCTTGTCACAGTTGATGCTGTGTGCCTAAATATTGACAGTTGAGCTTGACAGAAATGTACCGTACATTTAATGTAATACAGACATGGTTTCACAACTGATTACATTAGCTAATAACTTAATAATTTGTATATGTAGTATACACATGCATACTCACAGACAGTAATATCCCACAGAAAAGGACTTAATTCATTATTAGGTATGTGTATTTTTAAATATGTCTGTACTGTTTTATTTCCCAGCTGTATTTACACAAACAGTCTTCAAAAAAAAACAACACAGTGATAATATAACATAATAAAATGCTTTTATCATTGACTTTCCAGCAAAGACTGACATATTTCACATTTCCTGCATTTCTACCAACATAATTTATATCAGACTTTATAGCACACTGGTGTGAAAGAAACCTTTCTCACGATCCGCTTAAATACCTACAGTGTTGCTTTTTAAAGTCCAGCATGAAGACTTTTGCTCTGCATAGAAAAGATTGCTCGTTTAGTGAAAGCCAGATTATCTTTCACAGGCGGCAACAATTGCACTAAAAGAATGACATTTAAACAAACTGAGTCAAGATGATGCAAAATATAAATATTTGATTTAAACTTGGCTTGTATTGATTTAACTTTCTTCCACAGATAAATCATGAACTAAATTGATGTGCAATTCCAGCCAAATTAAGACTAGTCCACTGCCTTTTCCATAATTTCATTTCTCTCGTTCTTAGCAGACTTAAAAAAAGCCAAACCAAAACCACAAAATAACCCAACTGGAGAAATGTTACTTTAAATCGATGTACTGATTCTGAGGAAACTCAGGTTTCTGGAACTGGAAGTGAATATAAGAAAGCTACGATCCAACCATCCTCATTTTTGTTTTAATGTCTGGCCCTCAAAAAGGCTGTTTGCACAGGTATTTTATGACTCTACAAAGACATTGAAGTTCTGGATGAACTTTCTTTGCAATTTCATTTTAATTTGCAAAAAAGCTTTTACTCACAGTTAGATGAGAAGAGATCTTATTCTTAAATGTAGTTCCTGTCAACTTAAAAAACAAACAATGCCCTCACCCTGACCTGCAAGCATTCAAGTTCAAATATAAAGCCTATGATAGTTCCACTTCCCTGGCTTCAAAGAATCACACAAGAGTAGTACAAACTGTTCTTTCCAATCTGATCATTACTTTCAAAAGAAAAATGAGTTAAAACTGCAGCTAAGGGTTACCATGTGCAAGTCCATGGATTCCAGCTACAAGATGTTCCCCACTCGTTGCAGCGTGGTATCGAATGTATTCTCGCTCTGTCTGATGTCTGTTATCCATTGTCTTGCCCAAACCATCTGACAAGGTTCCAGCAAACTGTAAGAGAGCAACCTTTGCTGTTACTAAAAGAACAAGAAGTGTTTCTCTTATGTAGATTTACTGAAGAAATTTCCTGCATTCTAGTTGTGAAATAGAGATTTAAACAACTCATTTTGTTCCATGTACACAGTCACTCCAGCTTTTTCGATCTGAAGAAAGCTCTGAAGCACATTAACCTGTGCTTTCCATTGGCACAACTTAAATCCCGAGGTGACAGTCAGAAACCAAGCAGGTGCCCAACTGTAGTGGTCAAGCCAAAAATAAACAAAGCCTGTGAAAGACGTACCATGAGGAGTGCCAGTGACCCAACTGTAACCTTTCAAAACCTCACAAGAATGTTATTTAGATACAAAGCTGCTCTTCTGCAAAGATATGTGAAAAGCTTCAAGGCAAATATGCCTGTCATGAAACTAAAACATTTGCAAGAGTTAATTAAAGTCTTTTAAGTAACACAACGTAGAAATGGCTGGTGGGGGAGCCACGTCATGCTCATTGCAGCACATGGGGTGATCTGCTTAAAGATGGTCCACAGGTACTATATATACACTGTAAAACAAGCATTTGACAAACAAAACTACAAGAAACCCTGGATATGTGTGTGGAGCATTTTCACTCCTTACGCTTACCCTTAAAGATGTGAGACATACTTAGAGATGAAAAAGGATGTCTAAGTCCAAACAGGATTTGTTCTGAGAACCCTCACCATTACTGACCACGAGTCAACGAAAGAGCACCAAATAAAAATGATCTATTCTATCTGTTGACCTTTAGTTTGACATAATCAGATACAAAACAGAAGCTTGTTGGAGACAAGAGAAGGTGACAAAAAACCTGAAACCTTACCTCATATTCAGGATATTATTACAGAAAAGGACTTCTAGCATTTTCCTAAAATAATCTCCAAACACTGTCACTTTTTTGGTTATGTGTAGTTGTTCCTCTTCTGTAACTCCCTCTTCTGTACCTCCCTCAACTACCATCAGCATTATTAGAGTGTTCTCCTTTCAATAAACGAACTCTCCTTCCTCCTCAAAGGAAAGATTATTTAATGCTTTGCTGTCTCTTAGTCTAGGGCTGGGGAAGGTACCGGGTGCCACAGGAACATCAAAGGTACTTGATGGCTGCAGCAGTGGTGAACACAAAGAGCACAATGCATACATTAAGAAACCCTATGTGATTAACGTGTGCACCAGAAGACAACTAAACCTGCTATGAAATTCTGATTCCAATACAGTAAAGATTAAAAAAGAAACAGACAAACAATTCAAGTGCTTGATGCAATAACCAAGTTCCCCTCCTTTTTCTGTCATTTTTTCCAAGGCTGAGTTTCTCTTTTACTAGTGACAGGATTGCTTAGTTTAGATACTTCTTTCCAGCTCAAAGACAAACTAGTCCAGTGGCTCAAATGACCTGAACAAGCAGACTTTAACAAGATGAATGAAAATTAAATCCCATGACCCTTCTTGTGGCTTGATCATACAGACACTAAACAGAGCATGGTGATCACTGACTGAATTACTCTTGACCTCTTTGTGAACTTAATGTACATGCTGGTGGTTTGTTTGTTTGGCTTTTTAAAATTAGCCTAGAAATACAAACCAACCTGAAACTATCTATTAACTGTGTTTAGGGTTGAGTTTTTATCTGGACAAATACTTTGTTTTAAGAGGATTAGAGTACTTGCTGTAAAAGTTAGAAGGCTCAATAGGTCTTCAAAATTCAAACCTCATTAAGGTGTCTGTCAAAGCCTGAAAATGATTTTTCAAGAACACATTTTGAAAGCTGCATTAGTGCACGATCAGACAACCAGCCAGGAGGAATAAACCAGCCCATCAATATTGATCAAAATTGGTAAGGTTTCCTTAAAGCTCTGGCTTTGCCCTCCCCAGCTCCACTGTAGCAGCTTTCCTGGTAAATACAGTCCATCCTTTCCTCAGATTTTCCTTCCTCCATGAAGCAGAATCTGACACCCAATAGTCAACAACAACTTTGGTTTAGTGTATAGAAAAAATTTTAAAGTTATAGTAAGTTACTATCTTACTAAGGAGGAAAAAAGTTTAAGTTGTAGTCTTCATTAACTGTAAAACCAAAGCTGAACATTTTTGTTTGTGTTATTTAGAAAGTAAAACTGAATTACAGCTGTAAACAGAACAATTGAAGGATTCTAATGTACCAAATGTACCATGAAAGGTTTCCTTTTTGCCCTGACTCAGGTGACAAAATCTAAACTCACCACACATTAGTTACAAAACATGAACTTCATGTTGAATTACTTTTTGACACACCTCCTTCCCCCCTCCCTGGGTACTGTTTGTTTTCTGGCCTCATTTAACAAAGAGGCCAAACTTTTGTAGCCATCTGTGCCATTTGCACCTAAACCAAGGGGTTCCCTCAGTGAGCACACGTGGATAGGCCCCTCTGAACAGCTTCCAGCTGGGGACCACGGCAGCACTTTTCCTGCTCTGAGGTACAGAACATGATGGTTTCCCAATCAGGGCTAAAACACCAGTGAGGACAAAACTGAGACACTTCACATGCTGAGGTGTGCTCGGCACATGAGCAACTCACCATTTTCTGCTGCGAAGTTTAGGCTCTTATTTGCAATAAAGATTCAGACTGTAGTGCCAGCATTATCCTGATTTACGATCTGAACATCTCTCACATTACCCAATATCAGTAATACCATGTGAATTAAATAACTGCTGGGTATCAGAATTTTTTAACCATCCTTTTCTGTGCACCTCAGAAATACTTTCCCTGAAATGTTTTCTGAAGCCTGTTTCAGCAAACAGGATTGTACCTGCCTATATAGAAAGGAAAAATAAAGATTTCTAACAAAACCAATCATATACCTTCACAACACGTTATGCCCGGTCTGCGTAGATTATAATCACTATTATAATAATTATTAAGAAAAAGTTACTCAGCAGTGGCAAGTTATTTCAGGATCAGAAACTTGAGCAAGCATTGGAAATTTGAAGGGAGATTTGAACAAGTTAAAGCACAAAAGTAGACTTGCCTTATTGCCCCCAGAGTATCTTGCTTTTTGCTGCCTCCTCTGAGAAGTGCTATATTAGATACTGAGATTACGACTTGTGGAAGAGCAGTGATGGTGGTTTGTTGAACTGTTAACCCAGTCATGCAGAAAATAGTCTCCAGATAAACAAAGGTGACAACAAAAGTGCAATCCACCCTTGTCTTTCTGAGCTTTTGTTAATAAGGTGTGACCTGATAACTTCAAAGCCTACACAAGACCATGTAAATGCCAACAATACTAAATACAGCAATCTGTGGCACTAAGATGAAACTAATCAAGGGACTTCTAAAAACCAGTTCCCCTCCTTATCTGTCCTGTTTTTCATAATGAGTTGTCTACTTGCTAATGAAAAAAAAAAGAAATTAGTAATTCAGTCTTTTACCTCTGTGTTTTTCCCCATTTCAGATATCCTCTTCCTTGAAACAAGAAGAATTGCAACGCAATACATCAGTATCAGCTAAGTTAAGTTACCTGCTTCCTGACCAAAAGGCACAAAAGCGTTACTGAATAAAGCCAGTCTACACATGAGGTACATGTAAGAAGGAGGTTATTTTACTCATCAACCTGGCATCTCCAAATTAAGTGAAGGATGGGTCTTGCAGACAACTAATTAAAAGTTCTGCCATTTCAGGCACTAAAAATATTTCAACTTATCATCAATATGCATTGCTTGATGCTTTGACTTACCCATTCTGCCTGGACAGATAAAGCTTCAGTCATCTGAACATCCGCCCACCTTTATTCACAGATACCCCCCTTCTCTTCTCACTCTTTCTGTCCCCAAAGCAGATGGCATTTCTTGCATTTCCCCTCCATGGAGGAACCTTTTCTTCCAGGTCTGTGTTCTAAAGACACTTGATTCCTGGTTTTCCTCCCATACTGGTTCACATATGATGTGAAGTTATCAACTGGTAATACAGCGCAAGCAGAAGATAGGACCTACTGCACTTCTTTAACTTAAACCGATGTGGTCTAACATAAACTGATCCTCCTGAGGAGGGTGAAATATGACCATTTTCACATTTCCCTCCAAATTCCAAGGTATTATGCTACTGTGAACACAACATGTAAACCACTCTCAGTGCTTCCTGATTACTGAAAATGTTATTACACTTCCATAAGCCCGGGGCACAATGGCCACAGCAGCCGCCTCTGTGGACTTGAGTAAACAGATTCATCATCTCTTGGTTTACATTTCCATAGTGTCACCAATCAATATTAACTCTCTGCCATGATCTTCAAAAGCAGTTGACATAGAAGAAGAAGAAGAAACAAGAAACTAATCTAGTCATGTTTTGGTTATTTTTTGGGAGTGTGTGTGTGTTTGTTTTTGTTTTTCTTTTTAAAGGCCCAATAATTAAGGAAGTTTTGCCACAAAAGCTTTTACCACTGACTATGTATCCTTTGCTGTTTCAAGCAATAGAAGAAAAACAAAAACACCCTCATACAGTGTTTGTGAATCAAAGCTGGTGCCAAACAATAAGGCTTCTGGGGCACAAGAAGAATTCAAAGCAAATGAAAACTAATTCTAGACTTTGTACTGCATGTTCCCTCTAAGCCAGATGCATGAAGCACACAGCATGGAAATAAGTTTTAAGTAATCTTTTAAAGTCTTTTTAAGCTCTTGGCACTGCCTGGTTCTCTAAGGACATCCCAAAAGGATAAATACACCATTATGACTTTAGTCCAAACATTCCATTGTAATTCTAGCATCACAAAATGGTACATTTACAAATATTATTGACTGAGCAAAGCAGAACATTCCATGCTGGAATTTCAAGGGAGAAAGTGATGACATTAAATATAGGTCAGTCATAACTTCTGTGCAAACCTCACAATGAACTACATTTAAATTAGAAATCACAGGGTTTGCTTTGCAGAACTCCTTTAAAAAGGATGTTCATACTTTCATCTCCAATAATAAAAGTTGGTTCTCAAAGGCCAAAGCACAAATCTAAGT